AATACTAAAACCTTGATAATGTGGGCACTTATTGCACAAAATTTCAAGTTAGATACCATGACGTTATCTTTAGACAGAAATTGTCTAGTCATAACGTTACTCTTGTCATCAGTGATTAAGACTCAATTAAACTCATCAGAACTGCAGTCTATGATATCAGGTTTCCATTATAAGTTCGCTTAGGCATCATCTGCTACACATTTTGCTAATACTTTCGAAATTGTATGCAACACAGTATGTTGTCACAGAATGTGTTAATATATACAGGAAATATACTTTCCTTGAATGAACCTAAAACTAAAACGAGCCAGAATCCTACAGACGAAGTAAGTTTATAAAAATTTCTTTAAAATAAAATTAATAATTCTGGAGGTTATGTCTACTCTATTCTTTAAAGGTACTGTCACTATGACATTTACAAAATATTTTTACAGTTGATCGAAACACTAAAAATTGTTCTTCAAGATAATGAAAGTAGTGGAGAAAATCCAGTGGTTGTATGTATGAATATTTTGTCATTTTAATTTGAAATGAATATACTGCTATATCCTTGCAAAACTGTTGTGTTTTTAGATTAAAGGAAAAAAAGATAATGCTTTGCAAGATATTAACAGAGAAGAAGTTAAAATAACTGTGAAAGTTTTTATGTCTTCACCCGATGTGAATTTATTGAAAGAAGCTATAGATGAAGGTATAAAATCGTGAATTCATCACTGCTGATGACAGTTTCATAATTTATATATTACGCCGAATGTTTTATTTTATAGTTTGCAATTACTTGAATACAAATGCAATTGAATCTTTAGTAATTGCCTATTCAGTCACAGAAACTTCTGAAGATTTGTTATCATCTTTGAAACAATTATGGACTGGAGTAGAGGAGTATGTTGAAGTTGGTAAATTATCGAGTGTTGGTTTAAGCGATGTTAGTACTGATGTATTTATTGACTTATTTCAATGGGCGAATGTAAGACTCTGGCAATTCCTACTTGTTTACTAATTACTTAGACAATATTTAACACATGGATCTTATATCGCATTTCCATCCACACAGGTAAAGCCTAATATTGTACAAATTACTTTAGCTACATGCTGTGTTGTACCACCAGCCTTACAAACATTTACAAAGGAGAATGATGTACAATTATTAACACATAATGATCCTGGCCGTAAGTTCTTTTTATTTGGGAGCAAAATTTTGTAGACGAGCACCATAAATATTTTGTTTTATTTATAGAAATTCTTCCTGATGAAGAATTAGACAAAATATTTAATGGTGATGCCAGGATATATTGGGTTTGCAGATACCAAATTCATGTAAAGTGCCGTGGCATTTTATCTTCAAAGGGATACTTAGTATGCATGAACAAAACAACATAACATATTTTGTAAGGGCAGTATTATTAAGTAACAGATGAGCATAATTTTGATGATAAAAATTATGTTCACGCAATTACAATTGTTATAATTTTACAAATAAAACGTTCTATACATATAATGATTATTA